AGGCAGTTCTGAGCTCATTTTAGCCTCGTTTTTTATGAACCAGGACTCTATCCCAGCTATTTTAATCGTTCCGAAGGCAACAGTGCACTCTGTTTTGCAAAATTCAGCACCGAAAGTTTTAATCGAGACATTGGTTGCTCAATAACTCAAAATATGCATGGAGGAATCAACATCAGGAGTCATGATAAAACTCACCACCTCCAATTATACACTCAAGAGACCATGTATGGAAGATCTCCTAAGTTGTAAAGACTTGTACGATCCTTCCGACAAAAGAAACGGAGTGGAAGAAACTGAACAGAAAAACCATCGATCAAATCAGGCAATGGATTGACCACAATGTATTCCACCATGCTGCACAATAGACTGATGCACATGTCCCCTAGAAGAAGTTGGAAGACATATACCAGCCAAGACTGCTCGAAATAAAGCCCTTTTGATGAGACGGTTTGTGAATCTGAAGTTAAAAAATGAAACTTCAATTGTCGAGCACACTAGTGAGTTCCAGAGTCTGGTAAATCAATTATCATCAATAGAGTTGAATCTGGGGATGAAGTATAAGCTCTCTTACTTCTCAGTTCTTTACCAGACAGTTGGGAGACGCTGGTAGTCTTTCTCAGCAATTCGGCTCCAAGAGACAAACTTTCCAATGTCAATGGTTAAGGATGCCCTGTTCAATGAGCAGGCTAGGAAAAAGGATACGGGCATTGACCAGTCAAATGCCCTCGTCACTGAGAGTAGAGGCAGACAGCAAGGAGGTAGCAAAGGAAGAGTAAGAGTAGAAAAAAGTCACAAGATCTAGGGAGATCAAATGACGGATGAAGACCTGCATACAAGTGTTACCATTGTAGCATGCACATGAAGAAAAACTGCTGCAAGTTGCTACGAGAGTAAAGCCAAAGCAATAATCAACCAAAGAAACAAGATGGAGAGACATTAGTCACTCTCTTAGAGGACGTAACCATTATTTATGTCAATGAGGATACATGCCTTCATTTTTTCAACCACGACGTTGAGTGGATGATAGATACTGTTGCTTCTTACCATGCCACTTCTCATAACAATTTCTTCTCAACATACAAAGCGAGAGACTTTGGTACAGTGAGGATGGGAAACACCAGTTCTTCCAAGATCGTGGAAATTGGTGATATTTAAATAAATATAAATGTTGGTTATACATTGGTATTGAAGGATGTCCGAAACATGCCCGACCTTCTGTTAAATCTAATTTTCAGGATAGCCCTTGACAGACAGGGCTACGATAACCACTTCAGCAATGGCACATAGAAGCTCACGAAAAGTGTCATGGTTGTCGCTCGAAGACATATTTGTGGCATGTTTTACAAGAACCATGTGAAGATTTGTTCAAACACCCTCAATGTAGTTGAAAATAAGGTTTCACCAAATCTGTGGCAGCAAAGACTCGGTCACATAGGGGAAAAAGATTGTTTACCTTGGCAAAGAAGGATCTCATCACAGTTGCTAAGGATGTTGCACTAAATCCTTGTGATTATTGCTTGTTTGGTAAATAACATTGAGTCTCGTTTAGTTCCTCTATGAAGAGAACCTAGTACACTCCCTAGAGGTGGAATCATTAGACAGCAACAGATATTTTCTGACCTTTATTGATGATGCTTCATGGAAGGTATGGTTATACTTCCTAAATACGAAGGATCAAGTCCTCAAATGCTTCAAAAGATTTCATGTCATAATAAAGCGGGAAACAAAAACAAAGCTGAAATTTCTCCAAATAGACAATGTAGGCAAATATACTTCCATAGAGTTTGAAGTATACAGTCAAAATTATGTCATCAAACATGAGAAGGTTGTTTCATGTACCCCACAGCATAATGGAGTAGCGGAGAAGATGAATCGAATCATTGTGGAAAGAGCCCGATGTATGCTTAGTATGACAAAGCTGCTGAAGTCATTTTGAGGTGAAGTTGTTCATGTCGCCTGTTATTTAATAAACAGATCACCGTCAGTACCATTAAATTTTGATATTCCATAAAAATTGTGGTCTAGTCGGAATCCCTCCTATTCTCACTTAAGAATATTTGGGTGCAAATTATTTGCACATGTATCCAAGGAGCAGAGGTAGAAACTTGATGCCAAGACCACTCCGTGCATCTTTATAGGCTACGGAGATGAAGAATTTGGATATAGATTGTGAGACCTAAAGGCCAAAAGAATCATCAAGAGCAAAGATGTAGTGTTCCATGAAAATTAGGCATATGAGAATTTTGAAAATCTCACAAAATCCAGTAGTTCTAGTTCTAGTGCACAGGACATTGTTCCAAATCCTACACCATTACAATTCGCCACAGATAATGACGAAGTGCAGAGTGAAGCTACAGAAGGAGAACAAGATGATGATGAAGGTGTTGAGCAGGGGAAGCAACAACCCCTTTCACTAGATATTGTAGGACCATCATAACACTCAGATGATGGGGTACCTCATATAGTTGACGAGCCTCAATCATGAAGAACGAAAGAGGACGTATTCCATCAAGTAGATATCCGAAGTCAAACTATATTCTACTTACTGATGAAAGGGAGCCGGAGAGCTTCTAGGAAGTATAAGCTCATATGGATAAAAACAAGTGGATGTAAGCCATGCAAGATGAGATGGATTCCTTGTAGAAAAATCAAACCTATGAGCTTGTGAAACTTCCAAAAGGCAAGAAAACACTGATGAATAAATGGGTGTTCAAGATGACAATGGGAAACTAGTGAAGTATAAGGCTCGATTGGTCATTAAAGGATTCCAAAAGAAGAAAGGAATTGATTTTGACAAGATTTTCTCACTAGTTGTTAAGATGACCTCAATTCGAGTCATTCTCAGAATAGTAGCCAGTTTAAACTTGGAGCTTGAACAAATAGAAGAAAAAATTGCATTTCTTCATAGAGATCTAAATGAAGAAATCTGTATGGAACAATTGAAAGGTTTCAAGAAAGGAAAATCTGGTCTGCAAGTTGAAGAAGAGTTTATACAGCTTCAAGCAAGCACCTAGACAGTGGTATAAGAAGTTTGACTCATTCATGGTGGGCCAAGGCTACAAGAAGATTGTTGCAGATTAGTGTGTTTACGTAAAAAGATTATCGGATGACAATTTCGTTGCACTCCCACTTTATGTTGACGACATTTTGATCGTCGAAAATGATGTAATGAAGATTAGTCAGTTGAAGAAGGAATTGTCCACGTTATTTGACATAAAGGACTTAGGCCCAACTCAATAGATACTAGGCATGCAGATTGTTCGTGATAAGAAAATTAAGAAATTGTGGCAATCATAGGAGAAATATGTTGAACAGGTGATCCAGAAGTTCAACATGGATATTGTCAAGCCAGTCAGCATCCCACTAGCTAATCATTTCAAGTTGAGCAAGAATTCTTGTCCATCATCAAAGAAGGAGAAATAAGATACAACAATGATTCCCTTCACTTCAATAGTTGGGAGTCTAATATATGCAATGTTGTGTGCAAGGGCAGATATTGTCCATGTTGTGGGTATGGTGAGTAGATTTCTTTCCAATCTAGAGAAAAAAACACTAGGAGGCAGTCAAGTAAATTCTCAGATACCTTAAGAGTACATTGAAGATATACTTATGTTACGGGAGAGTTGAATTAGTTTTGGAAGGCTATACAAATTCAAATATGGCAGAAGATCTTGATGGTGAAAAATCTACATCAGAATTTCTTTACACTTTTGTAGGGAGAGCTGTGTCATGGCAGTCAAGGTTGTAGAAATGCATAGCTTTATCGACAATAGAGGCAGAGTATATTGCTGTAGTGAAAGCTAGTATGAAAATGTTGTGGTTAAAGCGATTTCTCCAAGAACTGGGTATTAAGCAGAAGGAATACAAGGTCCATTATAATAGTCAAAGTGCTCTGGACTTGACCAAGAACTCAATGTACCCTTCCCGAAGCATATTGATATTCTCTATCATTGGATACGTGAGGTGGTGGAGCAACAGTAATTGAAACAAGTGAAAATCCACACAAAGGAGAATCTAATAGACATGTTGACAAAGGTCGTTACTCGAGAGAAGCTTGAACTTTGTAGAGACATAACCGGGATAAAATGTCTAATTACATTATTTTCTGATGGTTTTAGAGAGAAAGATTTGAAGGTTCCAGCTCCATCAAAAGGCTATCTAGTAACCCACTCTAGTAGCCACCTCATAGACAGCTGGACGGCTATATTTTTGACAAAGCTTGCCGGTACATTAAATAAGTTCCCTTCTTTTCTTGACTTTTTGGCCAAAAACTCCCTATAAATAGGAAGCTTAATGAAGGCCAGAAGTATACTCAAGGATTAGTGAGGAGGAAACAGAGAGAGTGAGAGAGATTCAAGAGAGTTCTCATTTGTGAGAGAATTTTTGCAAAAATTATTGTATTTATTTCCAAAGAGAAAAAAAGATTTCCTCTTCTATTTATATCTTGTTTGTGGTGTATTTCCGACCCTGGATATCCAACAGGAAGCACACTAAGCCTCCGTTATAAAACAAGCAAATTACGGTACTTTGGCCAAGAAGTCACAAAGAACTTGAACTTGATGCATTCCAATGAATGTGAGAAGCATACCATAGTCACAACACAAAAATTCTCATCTTTCAATACCTTCTATATAAAATTCATTATATACAAGATAGATTGCAAAAGGATTAAGATATCTATGGCCCATTTTAACATAAACTTAACATCACGAAAATAAAAGAAGGAAAATCGAACCATAACCTTCGAAGATGAAACAGGATACCCAACTCATGAGATTTTTATAATGAAGAGGATTAGGTGTACGTAATCTTATCCTTACATATGGAAAAGTTGTTTCTGCAATTCGGAACATGATCTTCAAATCACAATGAAACAAATTTAATATTGCATAAAAGACCCATCTTCTCAATCAAAATAGAAAAGAAGTAAAAAAACCTTTGTATTTCACAAGGCTTGTAGAAAAAGATCCTTGATATATTCTCTCATAAAGATTTTGCGCAACAATTACAATATTTTTATGAATGGAGGAAATATTTTTTTATCAGTTTCTTATCTTTTTTGGAAATTAAATGCCTTGATTGAGTAGGCAAAGATGAATCCAAAAAGCACACCTATTCCCACCATGATGATGGCAACATATCCTAAGAAGTCATGTTTGAACCCAAAATAACTCCTTACAAAATGCTCTACAGTTTCACCAGTGTCAAGCTCATCCTTATAGTCTCCAAACTGTGAAGCAACTAATCCATACAAAGTCCAAGAGACAGGGCAAATGTAATAGTACCATCTCCACCACACTGGAATTCTCTGCAATGCATAAAAATAAATATGCTTGAGTACTTGTGAGTTAACATCTCATTTCTGTGCTTACTGGAAAAAAGAAATCTCATTTCTGAATATATAATGTTTAATCATAGGAACTTACTGTCTTTGGTATAATAAATCCCGAGAAAAGGTTCCAAATTGAATAGAAGCCCATCGAAACTATTGCAGCAATATTGTGGTTAGGAGTGACTGCCACGGTCATCATCCCGTAGAATGTGAAGTATAAGAAGGTGAAGTACATGAAGAATAGGTACCAAAAGAACTTGGCAACTGTCCAGTCAAATCCAATCATGGCATATACAATTACCCCATAGATGAATGTTTGAACAAAAATGTATGGGAGCTCAATCATGACCTGTACAACAAATGGAGTTAGTAAGGAAAATAGTGTATTACTTGAAAGAAATGAACACTCTCCATTCCGCAATCTATGTTCATCAGGCCTAAGTTAATCTATTAGTAATCTGTCTGCTGGTATCATCAGTAATCTAAATGGATTCTGTGACAGAACATATGCCCTTTGCCCACATTTTCTCACAATTGCCTACACAAAGTTATGTAAAACTACCGAACAACAATTAAAATATTGAGAAATTTCTGAAACATGAATTTTGCATCTAAAATGCTGCATGCATGACTAGATGTATTTGCTAATCCTGCATATCATACAAAATATACAAGCAATTTACCTGCCCAAAAGCATATGGCAAAGCTGAATACATCCCAGCAGCTCTTTCCCTGTAAAAGACTGTTCTCTCGATAGCAACAACTGGTTGCACTGTTGTAGCGTTTTGTACTCCAACAAAAAGAATAGCGGCATACATAGAACCCATTGCGTTAAAGAGATCTTGTTGCGTTTTCCTGGAAACCCAAAGAATTTGAATTGCAATAGGAAGTCAGGACATGAAAAAACACTTCGCAAATAATGGATGTTGATCCTTTTGGCTTTTGTCAGCCTGTTTACCTTTTGGAGCCAATATTCCAGAATATTGTCCCAAACATTAAAGCAGTGAAAGTAGTGAACAAAAGTCTGACGGCAGTGTATGAAGGGTTTCGCCAGTACGACCAGTGCTGTTTCCACAGGCAAGCCATACATTGGGTGAAGAAAGACTGAGAATATTGGGTAGGGAAATACAAATCTTTTGAACCTGGTGCAGGTGTACCAAATTCCTTAATCAAAGCTTTGTTTCTCCTGAATTATTCATAAAACAACAGTAATGGTTATAATACAAATGCCAAAAATTCTCAAATCTGGTCATCAGTCATTTATGTGTTTCAAAACTAATGGATCTGAGCCTCATATCTATTGGATTTATTAGAAATTTAGAATCATGGCATCCTGGTTTGATGTAATCCTTTTGAAATGGATGCCCAAACTAAAAAATGATTTCTGAGAGTTTGGCATGACCCTACCTATAGAGTTCTGAGTTCTTGTACACTTCGGCAAAGTTAACTTCTAGAGCTGCTTCTTGTGCTGCTGAAGTCACTTCCAACATCCAAGTTGCCGGATTATAACCATCTTTTATTTTATTCACTCCACTGATTCCCTTCAAGAAACGTAAGTTGTAGCATATTAGTACTTGGGAGGAACAAACTGGAGACTTCGATGATATCGTGCATTTACTACCACCCTTACCTCAAAGTAATTGATAAGATAGGAAGAATGGCGACCCAATGGACCAACATATATTTCTTCACCTCCTCGTTTTAAAAGAAATAGCTGCAATTCAAAATTCTTGTGCTTAAGTTTCTCAATTTTTAGAGAGTTAGAATCCTAAGTAGATTATTGGATCCTCAGCCATGGAAAAGAATAGTCACCTCATCAAAAGCATCAAAGATATCAATGCTGGGCTGATGGATGGTGCACACTACTGTTCGTCCTGTATCCACTGTGTTCCTCACTGTTCTCATCACAATTGCTGCTGCCCTAGCATCAAGGCCTGAGGTAGGTTCATCCATGAATATTATGGATGGGTTGGCCACTAGCTCAACTGCAACTGTAAGCCTCTTGCGCTGCTCAGTTGAAAGACCATTAACACCAGGCAATCCAACAAGTGCTTCCCTCAATGGGGCCAGCTCCACAAGCTCCATGACCTCCTCAATGAACATCTGCATTTCATTAGGCAAATTTCCAGTCAAATATAGGACCGAGGATATACATTTTTTGTTGTATCTTCAATTTCTATCGTTAGGAGTCACCTTTCTGGTTGCTGTATTGACCTCAGGAGACAACCGAAGCCATGCAGAATATAGCAAGGACTCATAAACTGTAACATGAGGAGAGTGAATATCAGTTTGCTCACAATATCCTGCTATGCGAGCAAACGTTTCTTGCTTCTTTGGGTACCCTGATATTGTGATCCTTCCTTCGATATATCCACCCGTTTTTCTGCCAGCCAAGACATCCATCAAAGTAGTCTTACCAGCCCCACTAACACCCATTAGAGCTGTAAGAATTCCTGGCCTAAAAGCACCACTCACACCTTTCAGAAGTTCTAACCGGTCTTCAGGAATACCCTGAGCCTTCATTTCCTGCAAGCAAGGTAATACTTTCAGCATGTGCAAACTATAAGCTATATACCACTGGACAGATTTGAGAATTATGAACTTGTCCAATGATTGTCGACAAAGTGAACTTTGGCAATAGCAAGATCTAGGACAAAAATTGGATACAAACTTGAAGGTGAATATGAATGGGAAATTATATGTGCATGCAGCGCAAGCATAAGTGTTGCTTTTTATTTCACATAGCTCAGGATTTTTCCCCAAGAGTAGACAATAACATCAAATCAAATATCAACTCCCTACCACATAGTATTCAAAAGTACCTGTGGCATATCTACTGCATATCTGATATCATCAAACGTTATAGATAGAGGTTCGAAAGGTAAAACCATTCCTTGCTTCCTTTTTGGTTCATTTTCACTAATAGTTCCCACTCTTGATGACATTGATCTGGATGATATACTTCTTCGAACTTCACTTTCCCTTTCTGCATATTGCAAAATCAAATATGCGATTAGAGATCCATAAATTTGCAATCAAAGCACATTGAGACTTGAGAGTGTAATGACTCACCCAAAGATCTCTTCCCTCTTGATGATAATCCAACAAGTTCTCCAGTTTTGCTGGCATTTCTCTCAGCCAAAGTTTCTTCTGATAAAATTGCCTGAGGCTTCCCAAATGCTGCATCATATAAAACCCATATTGTGACTAGTTGTATCCCATAGGCTTCGTTGACTTCGATATTAAAGTAAGCTAAGTGAAAGGAACTTACGATTGAGATAAGTTAGAGCCAAAAGGAATAGGAAATTGAATAGAAAAACATATCCAATCAGAGCTCCTACTCCAATCCAATACCACCGTGCTTCAGGAAAAATTGCACGAGACTTCAGGACAGTTACTCCTAATGGTTCTGTGGAATTAGGAGGAACCTATATAACCAACATTTTGTAGAATTTAGCTTACTTTGCCTCAATATTTTTCCCCTTTTTTGTGTGAAACTCCAAATCAAGAAACCATACTTACATGTCTCCAGCTTTTCCCAAGGAACTCATTCACAGCAATTGCATTTTGCGCATACATCATTGGTGAGAACCAATAACCCCATATCCACCATTTCTTTATGGAATCTAAGTGACAGAAAGTAGTTCTCACACTTAGATAACATAACCAAGAAGCATACATAGATATACATATCTCCATTATACTCTTATCTTTTACCTCGTGACAAGACGAATCCACCCATCACAAGAACTGTAAGTAATGCAAATGAGCCAAATGTGTTTGCAACTATGATGTTCCTTCCCAACGCCCCAATAAAACGGAATAGTGCAGAAGCCATTTGATTAATGCATATGAGTAGAAAGAATTGCTTGAAAAACCTGCCATTATGAACATTTATCAGATGTGAAACTGAAAATTCTGAAACATTATTGAACAAGTTCTATGATTAATTACCTTTCAACGTCTGGATCGAATCCTATGACATAGTAAGTCATGCAAATCCAAATGGCAACTTCCACAAGTGTGACTGGGATCTTGAGGATCCATGTGGGCAAAGAATAAGCCCATGGAGGAAAGAATAGAATGTCCCTGTGCTTGTAAAATACAGGAAGTTTGATAATGCTCAAGGCAAGCTCTGAGTATCCATTAAACATTATCATAATCACCACAAAAAACAGAGCACCCATGAAAATACCACCATCTGTTTTTGTATTCTTGGGCATCTCAGTTCGTAGAAATACTGTCAGTGTCATGAAAGCCATAAGAATAAGCTGAAAATATGAAATACAACCATCAGTTTGATTTCAGCGTTAGCAAATGGGAATGTTTAGGCAACTTAAAGTATCAGCTCTTTAATATGCCACAGGTAAGGACTCAATTTTTTCAAGTTCAACTTACTTGAGTCATCTTGAATACATAGAAAAACGAGTTCCTCTTCATAAGCAAGTATTCTCTAGATATGCAAGCTTTCAACAATTCCTTCTTGTTAACACCATACTTTTTAGTGGTTAAAGCAGCAGGGTGGCTCTTGGCTTTGTTGAATGGCACAGCAAGCTCATCACCTAGTTTCCGGCCCACATGAAATGACTGAAATGCTTCTGCAAATTCACTGGCAGTAACAAAATTATACTGCTCATCTCTACGTGCCCAATACTGCTCTTGATCTTTCCTTGATGTCACCTATGGTCCCAACCAAAAGCATTTCAATAATAAGTCCAATATGTTTAGAACTAATTTAAAATGGGATATAAGATAGAAAATGCATCTTAAATCTAGAATTACTTCTTGTAAGAAGTCTGCAACTCCTTTCCTCTCAGGACATCTGAAGCCAATGCACCCAAAGAACTCTAGCACTTTTTCACGGGGACCTTGATATACAATTTGCCCATCCGAGAGAAGAATGATGTCATCAAACAAGTCATAGGTTTCTGGTGCAGGCTGAAGGAGCGAAATTACAGCTGTTCCTTGAAGTATGTGGATTGATTGCCTGATTGAATTCACAATCTGGAAAGTCGTTGAACTGTCCAAACCAGTCGATATCTCATCCATGAAAAGTGCTCTTGCTGGTCCAACCATCATCTCCCCTGTATCATATTTGGTCAAACAATTCACAAAAAAAAAAAAAAAGACATATTCAGGCAAATGTAATGCTTCTCGGAATGAAATAAAAAAAAAAATCTGAAAAATGCAAAGAAACTCTTTCTAACCGAAGGTCAGAAGGAGTCTGGATTCTAAAAAAAATGCTTACAAGAAATATACATGTGTAGCAACCCTCACAGAGAGGATAAAGAGGATATAATGTTGTTTAAATTAAAATAATTCTAATAAGGTACCTGTTGTGAGTCGCTTTCGTTGCCCTCCAGAAATACCTCTTAGCATTTCATCCCCCACCAGTATATCAGCACAAACGTCAAGTCCCAAAATCTGCAAAATAACACAAGAAACCAAACAGAAGATATTACATTTATTTATTTATGCAACATATGATTAGCTTAGCATAACTTTTAATTTAGTACCTTGAGAATATATTCTGTAACAACACTGGCCTCTTGCCCTTCAAGTGAGGCTGCCTGTTGAATTTTAAAACATATACATATTGGACCATTTTCATAATAAAAAGATGTATCAAGAAGAAAAAATAAATTTTGAAACATATACAAATTGGACCATTTTCATATACTAAAGAGAAGTAAGAAAAAGAAAAAATAAAGCTTTCTATAACTTATGGGGATAAATGTGAATATAAACACACCATTATCTATCCTCTTACCTTCATATAAATATCAACATCAGCATCTGGTTTAATCTTTGCTTCTTTCTCTCGTCTTGACAATTCAACTAACGTTTCTGCAGAATTTCAAATTCAGGACAAAGAATCAGATCACTGATATAATTGGAAATACAGATTAATATGTCCAAGTATCTAACGGCCTTACTGACCATAACGGTCTCCAATTCCTTGACATCTTGCTGAAAAAGCTAATGTCTCTCTCACTGTCAGTTCTCCCATGTGAAGATCATATTGACTTATATAAGCAGATGTCCTTTGTGGAACAAACTCATGCATTCCATGACCATTGTATGTTACTCTCCCTGAAACCTATACTCTCATCAAGTAAAATTATCTATCATAAGCCCAAACAATTTCTCAAAAATTACTGAATATACTAGACTTCCATTTCCTTACTTTTAAATCGGAACCTAGTTTTCCAGCCAACGCCAACAGCAATGTGGTCTTTCCGGAGCTTGGAGGGCCTAAAAGCAATGCCATTCTGCAAAACCCGGTCAATGAAATAAGACATGGCAGGCTAAGATTGTGTATAATGGAAAGTTGATATATATTGTCTTCTCACCTGCCTGGCTTGATGATTCCACTCACATCATGAAGTATTGATAATGGTTTCTTTCGACTTGGAAGAAAATGAATATAATTTAAGAACCCCTTTACAGAGAGAGAGAGAAATTGCAGGGTGAGTTCAATTACAATTGAGAAGACAACAGTGTAACTTATATCGGTTTTTTTGCATAATAGTAATCAGTAAACTACCTCAAGCATATTAACAGAGAAGTTGAATATAGTAGGCAGTGCTCTACCACCAACATAAGCTTCTGCATCCACACTTAAATGCTCAAACCGGACTTCAATAGTGGGGAGATCAAGTCCAACACTGTGTTATTGAGAAAACCCAAGAAAATAAAGCATAAAGAAAATGTTTCAAACACATAAAAGACACCAAAACTTGCAGAGAACCAAGATAAATATGCGAAAATTTTTAATTTCTGTTGAAATTACCGATCAATGCGTTCCTTGAGCTTCAACAAGAACTTCTCATTATCTTCGTCTGCAATTTTCACAAGCCTCTCTAGCAAGTTCTTTTTCTCCACGAGCCCAAGTTCCTCTATGTCAATCTCTCTTGATTGGCCTTCTTCTTCAGTTAGTATCCCCCTCCTGATTCGAAGATAAGTGGGTAATTTCTCAAGAGCGGCCCATTTCAGTGCTTCTTCATCGTCTTCTTCCCGAGAAGACTTTGAGAAAATGTCTCTGCCACTGTTCCTCCATATGTTGGAACTACTAACACGTGCACTACTTACTCTAAATATATCACCACTCTCCATTATCACCCACAGAAAGTTGAAGAGCTCAAACAACGAAAACCCAGAATGTTTTTGATTATTTCATGTAAACAAGCTTAAGTTGTTGAATTATGGAGCCTGAAGAATAAATGGGTATCTTCTCTCGCTCTCTCGCTCTCTCGCTCTCTCTCCCCCTCTGTTTGATTTTGCAGTTGGTTTTTGGAGGGACTTTCGAGTTTATGAAGAATTTGATGGGAGCGAAGGGTATATATATCAGTTTTGAAGTACTATGGGTCAACATGAAATTATTTTTTTTTTTGTAGCGGTTGACGTGCGTGTTAATGTCATGGCAATTTATACAATAGAAACACCAAAAAAATAAAAAAATTATTTGAATTTAATTTATTAATTTAATATATGTATTATAATCATTGAATTGATAACTCGTCTTAAGTCATATCTAATAGTCCAAAATGATTAGATTAATAAATTAAATTCAAATAACTTTATTGTAAGAATTGAAAAAATTATATGAGTAAATTAGGGTACCTTACTTCTTTGGTAATTTTTTTTTCTTTCATTTCATTTATATCCTTGCTATTTTAAAGTTTCACCCTTTGGTGTAGTTGGTTGGAGCATTATGATTTGGGATGGATCTAAATGAGTGAGGTTGGTTTTTTTTTTTCTGTTGCAATAATGCCCTTCCATTTTTAAATCCTACCCTCCTCAATATTCCTGCTCAAAAAATGAAAATAAGAATGATAAATTTTTTTTCCTTTTTTTTGGTAGGATAGATGGAAAATAAAAATAATTTTTTTTTTTTGTGCTTGGTAAAATGGAAAAAATATTTTTTTTATTTTTTTTTTATTTTTTAAAAAAATATAAATACATATTTTATCATTGTATTAATATATGAAATTAATGTATATTAAATGATGTATGAACAAATAAGATACACATCAACACAAATAATTAATTTTTTATTCACTTTCCTTCCAATTTTAGAGGGATTAATTTTGATAAATTAAAAGAAAAACATATTCATCCACTTTTACATCTTTCATATTTTCTTTTTTTCTGAAACATGATGTTTTATTTATCCTTTCAACTTTTCATTTTTCCATCCTTACATTTTTTTCTTCATAACAAACGGAGCATAAACTTTTAATGGATTCCTTCTTTGATTCCCGGTCGAACCCAAAACATAACATGTTGGTTAATAATTTGTCTTTTATTGCATTGAGAATCTTGGTCCTCAACAAATTAAGCATTAAATTAGCAAGTCATCCTTCAATCCCATTACTCTCTTCATTTTTGTTTGAACACAAAGTCAAAATAAAAAGCAGGCCTTTATTGTCAAAGGCACCTCCCCAACCCTTCCCCCCCCCCCCCCCCCCCCCCAAAAAAAAAAAAAGGGAAACAAAAAGTCAGAAGTATGGTATCACTACAACGGATTTTTGAAAAAACAAAAAAAAAAAAAAGGATTTTCTCCCCCAACTTCTATGGGATATGTACATTATGGCTAAGATGAACCATTTGATTATAAGTTTAATAAATTCAGGTGTTCTGTCTAGAAGGACCTTGTTGATCTTCTAGAAGGTATGGAGCCAAATTGATCACACCTTTGAAAAACTTAGGTCCAAGCCTAACTTAGTGATGTATTACAAAAAAGATTTCTGTTGGGGTTTGTTGAAGGCAGGCAGGGGTTGGGGTGTCTTGGATTATTTCTATCAAATTTGACAAAGATTTTGAAGCATAAATAAATTAATCTCAAATATGTTTGGGGTCTCCATGCCATTTATGAAACGTTAGGGGATATTAATTGATTTTTATTCAAATATCCTAAGCTCACCATAATCTGTGCTACAGCCTACATGAGAGATTTTTTCATATGTTTTGATAATGTAGATTCGTCTCAATCATATATATCATTTGAACTTGTAATTATAATGTAAATTTTACATTAAAAGATTTCCAGTAACCCTGCACAATTTCTAGAAGAAAGCTCCATCTTGTTCTAGTGCTTGTGCTATATTATAATTATTTGCTAAGTTTGTTAGTCCTATGAACACTAAACTAACAAGAAAAAAATTGTTGTTAGAATCTCCAGTGTCAGTTAAAAGACAAACTTTTAGGTTCGTGGCATCTGAACTATACTTATTTATTTTAAATTGAAGGTAGGACAAAGTTGGAATATTAGTTGCATAGGGTCATATGATCTGAGGAATCTTCTGTTTATACTAAAAATTGGCTTTTTGGCAGAATGTTCTACTTTTTGATGATTAATTCTATTGCATGACTAGTCTTGTAGATCAAAGCCCCTTAGAATCATTATTCAAAGATCCTCATTGAAAATATTCATAGCAACTTGGATTTGAGCATTTCGGATTCGAATCTCTTCTAATACACCTTTTTGTATTTCTTTCGATAATAGATTGTTCGACGTGTAGTGGTAGAAGACTATCTTATATTGTCAAAGCATTCAAAAAAAAAAAAAAACATGAATTGGATGAGAGATTTAGTCCATTAACCACCCAAAGCCCTACTTTGATACTATATTAGTGCATCCAATACAAAATCAATTAACTATAATAAAATAGAACTAGAAGCACATAAATCAACCTTGAGTGTATCTTAAAGGCCAACATGGGATACTTCTCTTTACTTCAATTTTTGATGGGTAATCTATTGTAAAAAAAAATGTATTAAAAGATATCTGTATATAAGCGATTCTTCTTGGGATATAAAGTAATTGTCGGATGCAGTCTGAGAAGACGTCGGTGAATACGGCTGACATCTATTTTTGATGGTATGTCGAAATTGCTCTAACCCCTTATTGTAACTGCTATCCCATTAAAATGCAAATGTTAGTGAGAATGTACCAATATGAAAATCGTTTTTGTTTTTCTTATTTGTCCTTTCTTGTGATGGTACTAATAAACATAGATCCTCAAGCATGCGTAAGCAAACAATAATTCAAAATGACTAACTACTGAGCATCATCATATTTCAAGTGCGTAGCTATGTATGTTATTCTTCTTTTAAAAGGAACGATATATATATATATATATATATGGACAATGTTATTCTTCTTTTAGTCAGAACTCGTATCTGATGACACGATAGAATATAAAATTTAAGTGCTCAAAAAATCGATTTTACTATAAATTTGTTCGACATGTGCATATTGTATATGAATAATGTTTGAAATAAAATTATGTTAACTACAAATTAATCAAATATTAAATAATTGAATATACAATAGAAATGAGTGATGTGATGTTTTTAAAGAAAAAAATAAGTAGAAAATAAAAATTCAAGTTATTATATGCTTTATTATATAGATATGCATGTATGCAGGACACCATTTTTCCTTATGGCTGGCATCATTGTTTCAACTTTTTTTTTCCTTTCTTAATGTGCATTGGTGTTTAGTATGATTTTTGAATATTTTGTGCTTATAATAGAGGTCAAAACGCATGCGAATGATTAAAAAAAGGGTCTAAAAGAGGAGATGATAAAACCCCAAAAATGGGAATATAAAAACTAGTAAGAATTGACCCTCACAAGTCTTAGTTTACAAACTCTTATAGTGTGTTTGGTAAGTTGGATGAAAAAATAAAAGAATAGAAAGTGAGAATCCTTCTATCGTTCAAGGGAATAATCCTTTATTCTTTCCTTTGTGTTTGGTAGGAGAGATGAAAAATAGAAAAAATTAATTTTTTTTTTTGTTTGGTAAGATGGAAAAGTAAAAGAATTGAAAAAATATAGATCCATATTTTACTATTATATTTGTATATGAAATTAATAGATACGTTGTATATAATATATAAATATGATATATCCATATATTAAAGAATATACAAGTCCCGGTAAAAAAAAGATATATAAGTAAATAACATACATTTCAACACACATAATTAATTTTTCATTCACTTTTTTTCTAATTTTGTAAAGATTAATTTTAGTGAGTTGACAGGAAAATTAATTTATCCACTTTTTAATCCTTATCAAATATGATTTTTTTTCTATCTCTCTAACTTTCTATCCTTTCATTTTTTTTTATCATACCAAATAAAACATTAAAAATTAAGAGTAACAAACTCGGGTTAGACCCAATTGAGTAGAGCTATGTTCATTTAGAATGGTGTTTGAGTTTAGCATTTGATAGTCTATAATTGTGTTTGTTTTTTTTTCCCAACTCTTTTTTTTTGGAGTTCAACAATTAAGGATGTCTGGCCAGTTTCTGCACAACTCAATCAATTCCCTATTTGGTTCGATCAAAGGCAGACTATCCACACTGAAATTAGGGTATTCATAAGAGATAAATCCATCATAATATGACCTCAAGAGATTGTCAAAATTAAAATTCAAGATACTTAAATTTACAGCTCATCTCTATTACTACTTAAACTTTCCCTTCAAATTTTTCGCCAATTTTGCCATATGGGAATGAGCTTCAAAGCAAAAAATGGCACCAACTCTAGAGTATGGCAAAAATATATCCTAATTTCATGTCCTTAATTTAAAGTGCCTGTTGGCTGCATAATTATAATATTGACAATATTATAAGATTATTATATCCTCTGCAAATATAAAACACAAAAAGGGGTTGGATATAAGAGCACAAAACTGCATCAAGGTGTATTTATTATTAATATTATTATTATTATTTTGCAATATTGAAGCCATGTCCATATATTTAGTTTGACACTTTTGGTATTGAAAGTATTGGCAGATGCGTGAGAAAATAAGAACATATTGTGCATACGTAAATAGGTGTTACAAGTGGGCGTTTGTAGTCCAACGGTTAGGATAATTGCCTTCCAAACAATAGACCCTGGTTCGACTCACGGCAAACGCAAATCTAAGTATTAGCTTAACCTAATGTTTGTACTCTTCTCATTTTTTTTTTCAGTATGTTGTGTGCTTCCATCTACTATTATTATATCATTACTGGGAAAAACTCGTGCCTTTACAATATAAATCAACCAATTAAATAGTATACTTAGATACAAATAAGTATCAAAATTAAGAACTTA